CAAGTTTGAAAATTCATTACTTCGCCTCGTCGGAAATACATTGTCGGAAAGCTCTATCTTATTTATTGCTTTGATGAAGCCCTTAGAAATTCCGCTTGGGGTTGAATGTGCAAATCGCAAAACCGAACTGTAATAGTCGAAGAATATTTATAACTCTGCCGGATGCAACCGGGGAATGTTTCGCTTCCATGTAAACAGTGCTATTTACACAAAAAAGCACTTTTGCCAGTCTGATACGAACAGCATCAGTGTATCATGTTCGTCCCAATGGAAACGTGTTTCCTTGTCATTTTAAGCTATTTTAATGGAACGAAAACATAACAACAGAAAATGGGCAAACATGATGTACGTATTGAACTAAGGAAGAAGCTACGGTTTGAAATTGAAAAACTGATAAATAAAAGTGAGATTTTTTGCCTCCAAAAAATTAACGCTGCTTCGAATCTGTCACATACGTTGCGCTATCGTAAAATGAAACTCATCTGTGTAATTTCAAAAATAGCCACCTGGTTGTTATATTTTTCATGCGGAAAAACCTGCTACAATAACATGCAGAGAGCATTTCTCATAAAATATTTCCCGTCCGACAAAAGTGCTCATACACGTATATGCTCGTTGCATATTTAATGCCGGCTAGTATATGAGTGTCTGGATCTGCACTTTATAGCAACCAGGCCACACTTGCCTGAAAAATGCCGGATTTTTCACTTTACAGGTACTTGACTTCAGTTCCTGACTGATAGCTGGAAATTGGTCCTCTTCATACAATTTTTGCCTAATCTGTGCACATCTTTTCCCGATCGAAATAAAGAACGACTTCAATACCAAAGCGAGCAAATTTCATCGTTATCCCGAATTAGCTAATGAATAATAGCCGGTAATAGGCCAATGTGGCACTAAACTCATTACACGTAATTTCGGTTCGTTCTCTGTTCCATAAATTATTACACTGACAGTATATTAACTTATTATTGATGTAGGGGATTATTTATTTGTCAGGGGTATTGTGCGAATTGGGCCACATTTGCACCTAAAAAAAGTATTTTTAGCCAAAAAAGTATAATAAATGAGAATTTTGCAAAAAGTCGTACAGTAAATTGATAAATTTACATGTTTGTATTAATTCTATCAGGTGGAAATGAAATTGTGTCCAACTCGCAAAAACTTGGCAATTATCAAATATTTCAATTTACATTTGATGTATCATAGGAAGAGTGGCAACTAATGGCCAAATTTATACAGATCTTTATGGAAAGTTAATACCAATCATGCCACGAAAGCAGGTGTAATAAAAACGATTTAAAAATATGATTTGCTTCAAATATCTAGTTGTCTTCTACAAAAATCCGGAAGAAATATGCTAATTATTGCAATGATTTGGTTGATTCATTGCATACCTCCTGGCTTGTTTCCAACAAATAAACTAATGGAAAACCAATGTTTTCCATTGTTCCTCCGCTTTCTTTGGCGCTCAGTTTGTAATTGACTATGAAATTGTCAAAGACCCAGCGCAATTATTACCAAGGTTTCGATCCTGAATTTACCAACGAAATACCAACATTTTCCTAGATGCATTCATTTCGCGGGAATATTTTCGCTTTGATAGATCCAATGCGAACACTAGCAAACCGAACTCTTTTTTTATGGGTATGCAATTTCAAATATCCGAAAAATCCTCATTGGAAATCCAGTGCTGAGTCTCTTCTGGACAACGTTCGGTTGCATGTCAAAAGCTCTTCGGGCTTTACATTTTCCACTAATGAATGATTCGGCAGCATCAAAAAGATTTGATTACGTGAAAAAGAGAATTGAACTCAGTGACCGGAATGCGAATAAATTAAGTAATTGCATTGATTAAAGCTGCTCTATCGAAATGTAAAGAAGGGCTTATATACACATTCTGCTGTTCGTTTCCGCTAATGTGCTTTCCGACGAAAACGCAATTCAATGTCGCATCGAAAGCCTATATTTCATTCGAAGCCATCAGGAAAGTATAAATCAGCGTGACATAGGTAATCCCTTTCGCCTGCGTGTCTCCTTTCCTTTTATTCACAAGAAATCGAAAGATATTCCTACCATTGAGCTTACGTGTAAGTCAGTTGTTGGTTGCGAATAACTAATGGCATCAGAAGACATTGATGGCTACCCCGTCAATCAGCCAGGTGCTTGCTACTTTTTAATCGGAGGAAATTTTCAATGCCGTTCTCTCTCCATTTTTAAAGCTTCATAGTCTCAAGAAATTCAGCTACTTTTCTTTGATGTTTTTTGTGAACCACAACAAACAACGCTGTCTTATTTCGAATTTCCTGCTCACAAATAGACGATGCTAAAGCAAAGGGCTGCGTTCTCCCATCCAAATATACACAACAGTTTATTTTTAATTTATATCGCATCGTGAGGGATACTTGACAAAAGCACTATCACGAGATGACATCCGTTTCATTCGAAAATTGCAAATTGTATGTCGCAGTTTACGTCCTAACTAGTTAAAGTAAATAGCGATACATCTTGAAACTATTAGACATTGCACACAGAACAGCTATCTGCTAGATATTACTCCCTGTGGCACTTAAAGTTTGCTCGTTTCATGCTCTATAAAACCATCTATATCTGTGTCAATATTAATCGGATTCTAGCTAGATAAATTGCTTTGCTTAAACTGTTGATTTAGTGTATGAGCTGGTGCTGAGGAATTTACCAATGACCAATTGCTGGCCATTTTAAATTTTAAGCCTTTAGTTTAGTTAATTATTTGCTTTTCTTAATATAGTCTAATCCAATATTAACCCTGATAATGCAATTTGCCGCGTTTGCTCGAGTTCCTCCAAATAAGCAACAAAACGGGAATTTTCAAATCCGAAGAAATCAGACAAATAAAGGGCAAGCAGAGGTTTTACGGAAAAGCGACTTGGCGGCGTCGAATCCGGACCAATAATCTCACCAATAAAACAAGCCGAAGCTGGAAAACCATTAAGGGGATCGGCGATTATCTGTATCGATTTCCAGTCGGACTTCATATAGCTTAGATTTCCACATTCAAGAGGAAAATTCGTTCCTCTATAGAAATGCGGCTGCTTGACACCCGCAAATTCGTTAACTGAGAACAGTGTTTGTTTGAAAGCAATTTTTTCCCAGCTGATCCTGAACATAATGAAAAACAAAAAAAATGTATTTCCGTAATGTTAAGGAGGAAGCCCTCATTGGCAGTTGCAACCAAATACTTTGCTTGAAAATTTAAAATCTACTGACATAAAATACACCTTTTTTAAATAAGTTTTGTGGCCTTTCCAAAGGTAAAATCAAGTATTTACTCAATGTCCCTTCGTGACTTCACCTACAGTTTCCAAATTAGACCGCGTACATAAAAAGACAGAAACGGCATAGAACGCGGTCCGGCAAGTCCCATTTCAGACAAAAAATATGAACCCAGGGACAAAGACGTTCTTTGACTTTTACAATATTCATCCGAGGTACACGGAAAAAGAGTCCCCGGGGTGACAAAATCAAGGAATGTCTACTGAAAAGGGCTTTTTAAGGGCGAGACGAAACGGCTCAAGAATCGGAAGGGTCAGATTTCTCTTCCAGAACGTTTATACGGGCCAGTGCCCAAAAATCGTCATTAGGGTTTTATTATGTTATTTACTGATTCAATAAAGCACAAAGCCGTACATGGAAGTTGACGCTAAATACGATAGTCTCCTATTTCCATTACTATCGTCCTACACTGCTCGAATTTACATAAGTATAATTTGGTAATCCGGCTTGATAAGGTTTATGTACCCTGCCGAATTTCAACCGGGGATAACTGTTATTACAACACTACAGATTATCCATCATCGTACCTGCTCGCAAATGCGTGTGGCAATTTATCTTCATACCTGTCCTTGGATTTACTCGCAGTAAATGCTACGGATAAAGCCACCTGGAATTGGTAATGGAAGCATTTGAATGATAAAAATGGCCATTATTTTATGCTGCCTTGAGTTCATAAAGAACGGCAAGAATGCATCGGTAGTTTACTACGTTCACTAATCTACCAAAGCCAAGTATGAAGATATTGACTACACTTTGATGTTCAGCGACTTGCTCACAGCTTCCACCGTCTCAAATTGGATATGACCGAGAATTACCATTTATTCTATTTTTTTCGCTGCCTTAAAGCGTTCAGAAAACATTAACCGAATAGCAGACCAAATAGTTCACGGATTTCCAGCTTAATTTAATTCTGATGAATCGCAGAGCGGAATTTTATTTCAAAGCTAATTAAAATTCCCAACTGGAGTGAGCGTTCTTACCAGTATGCAAGGATTATTACAAGATATTCATTTTAAATATAACACTTTTACATTTATCAATGAGCGGAATATTACAAATCGCATTCAGTAAGAGTGGGACATCCGGAAACTGAAGATTCTACAAGTCAAATGGTTGCCGTTGTTAAGAGTTGATTTTTCGAAAGTATAGGGTTTCAAAAGTCGTAATTTAAATTCTTTTTTTGCTTTTCTGCGCCAGGAATTTGAAATTTTGTGACTATGGGTTTTTTAAGACGACGAATATAAAGCGTGTTACTACCCCATGCATAAACCACATTTTTACCCTTAAATGAAGTGGAAAATCATCAAGCATCTGGACCAAATTTAGTCGAAAAAAACACAATTGGCGATTTGCCTATGAGCTAAGGCATGGTCATTGAAATTTTCTTGTGCAAAATGATAAATCTACAAAAAAATTACCCACAAATTTACAAAAAAAATAATTAGTGCTGGAAGTGCTTTCGACATTCACTCAATAAATACACGTTGTTTTAGACAAGAGTCAAAAGATTCAACTGAAATCAAATACAAAAATCACTTAAAGTAACTTTTGCTTCAAACTCAAAGAGGCGAGCCTTCGAAATACACAATTGGGGATGTGCCTCCTTCATTGCAAATACATATACAAATAATCTGCTTTTCCTTAAACTCTGAGAGTGACCCAACTCAAATCCCACAAGTTATTACGACGAGTTAAGAAATTTTCGGAAAATTTGACAAAAATTGGCAACCAACCAAAACACAAGTTTCTCAAATGACATCAAACATCAAACTCTTATGTTGAAACTAGTAAAACAACTACGGCTGTTTAAGCCTCAACTAGCGCAAAAACAGAACTGGCGAACGTTCTGTAGCACAAGCAAGCCGCCGCCTTCTGTTTACGATATCCATCCTCCGCCTCACCAGAGAAAGGTGCACAAACCAAAGGAATGGCGCCCCTATTCGCCATTTGAACCCAAAGGTACCAAATACACTTCTCACTGATCATCAATCAAATGGAAATTTCAGGAAAAGTCGAATGGGCCCTAGCCAGACTGGACGATCTTCTGAACTGGGGTAGAAAAACCTCCTTGTGGCCAATGACTTTCGGGTTAGCATGCTGTGCAGTGGAGATGATGCATATTGCTGCTCCCAGATATGATATGGACAGGTGGACGCATTCAAAAAATCATTAAAGGCAATCACAAGAAAACCATGAAATTTTTTCAGGTTTGGAGTCGTTTTTCGAGCTTCACCTCGACAAACTGATGTGATCATCGTAGCTGGGACTTTGACCAATAAAATGGCGGTAGCGTTTAGGAAGGTCTACGACCAAATGCCCGAACCAAAATGGGTTATTTCCATGGGAAGTTGTGCTAATGGAGGCGGGTAAGAGTTTCAGCCCTTCATCTACTGCTCAGTATAATCAGGGTAAATGTCTAGCTACTACCACTACTCCTACGCAGTAGTCAGAGGCTGCGATCGAATAGTCCCAGTGGACATCTACGTCCCAGGTTGTCCTCCTACAGCGGAAGCTTTGATGTATGGCATCCTGATGCTCCAGAAGAAGATCAAAAGGTCTCAAACCGTTCAAATGTGGTATAGAAATAATTATAAACAATCTTAATGTTCCCTGCGCGATTTTTTAAATGCTGACTGACTGATACATAAATTAGCCAAAAAGTGACGATAATCAAAGCTAAACAGGGCTTGAAGTTGCGCAATTTTGTCATGGAGGTAATCTCTTCACAGGATTTCGCGAGGCGCGAATTTTTAATTACTGTCTCTACCGGTGCTGTCACGTGTTTAAATGAGAAATTAAAGAACAATGTTTTTGTGGAGCGGACTAATTTCACTCAGCATAAATGCGAACTCCAGTGAGAATTACCGTACCTTTATTTTATTAATGCTGTCCCAAATTAATCACGTGAATAGATTGTGGGTGCTTTATTTCAAGTTTTATTGTGTGCTACTACAAATAACAAAGTGCACTTTAAAACAAAATTGACTAACAAAATCTCTGATTGAAATTTCAGACACTTAATTATTTAAATTAGTATCAACGAAAATGTATCTGCCAGCGCCTGCTCCCATTGCACATATCATTTAATGAAGTTAATTTTATTATGCATTACAGTACCAAACAGTAGAATTTGAATTTTGGAAAGTTTTCAAATTGTGACTGTAATAAAGGATTTTAATATTAATCAATTGCTGAACCTCAAGGACCCTGTACAGTATGGGATGAATTTAAGCTAATGAAAGATCGAAGACTGAGAAATATTGAAGTACTATAAAGTTAAAAATTCTGGTATCATCTTTTAGTTCTTATAATCGTTCAATAAATGTATGAAAGTTTGAAAAAAACTAACAATTTATAATGGAAAGAAACGAAATAATAATAATGATAACATTAAGTTAATTGGTCAAGTACAGGAAAGATAAAGTAAAATACTGGAAACCATAAGAAGTCTATTTCTAAAGCTGGAAACCGAGTTAATTACAACGGTATATGGAAGCAAAAGAAATTAAATATCTCCTTAAAATTACATGTTCAGATTATCATATATTTAGCTGGGGTTTTGCCGCCTCCAGCTACTTGAATATGCCAGCGAATCTGGAAGTCTGGAAAACCCGGAATTACAGCGGCAGAATTCGAGAAATTTAGCGAAAAACGTGTAGGTGAAACATAGACATTTGAAACTATAATGCCTTGTTCTTTGCATGCATCATTTGCTAGTTATAATTTTTTTATATTCACGGAATGTTTAAATAGTCTCCAAGGGGTAGATTATCATGGTTTCGTTTAAAATCTCAAGTGCGACAAAAGCAAGCAGAAATTAATTATGAAAGGAAAAACAAACAGAAGGAAAACGTCCAGCAGTCACTCTGCATAATGCCGCCAAATTTGTCCCCAAATTTCAGTCGGAGTTGAAAAAGTTCATTCTTTTAATGATCTATTTAAATACAGGTATAATACCGTCACCTCGTTGGGAGCGGGAGCCAAACTTTAAGATGGCACTTAGAGGATTTCATTTAAATTCATTTAAAATGCTAATGTCTAAATCCGGCCATGAATAAAAATTATCTTTTGCCCGGTAGTGTATTATTTTAGTATCCGTTTTATCATGGCCACGGTCTGGCTTTAAACATCCGTTTTAGGGTCACTTTCTGTCCGGTTTTCTACATTTGATAACGACTTTTAATACTTCATATATTTTCTCTTTGTAATATTTTATTTCACTACTTTCTGAACGTCACTTGCTGAATATTTTAACTTTAATTGAAAAGGTTTTATTATGTAAAAATGTCTATTGTGTCTAAGGGCTTAACGATGTAAAGCATGAAAATATTGAATCGAACATATAAAGTTATATTAATATTAGGTAGACCAGCTGTTCTTCTGTTATTCTAAGATTTTTTTGAAATTAATTTATGGCGTTTTAGCGGTGTGTTCAACTAAATTTAATTGAATTCAATACAAAGTAAATTAAGGCTTATTTTTGAATCATTGGTCCGGATGTTCTTCAATACAAATTCTGTAATCGCAAACTCGCCGATCTTTCGCATCTGTTCCAGTAAAAATATCAGATATTGTTAACATCGGACGTTAACACCGTGGACGAGACACATTTTTATCTTTCTAATTAAATACAATTTTCGAACAGATTTTTTATTATTTCCTGGTAAAATAAAATTTAATGTCTTAATTACAATTAGATGTGACATTAACAAGCTGTTTTAGACCCAGACTCTCACTTTGTAGTTTATTTTTTTATTTTCCGCCTCAATTTTGCACTTGAAACATCATGTGAGGAAACTCATTTTAAGAAGTTTTCAGTTTAGGAATCAGTGTTGTCTGCTGGTTCTTTGAAAAGATACTAATATTACGAATGCAATTAACTTAATTTAAAAAATGTTTTTAGCGCCACATCGTATGAGTTTGATGGAAAATTTGATACTTTCTAAAAAAATAAACGCGATAATCAAAAATTAAAAAAATCTAATTGCTTTACGCAGTATTTTTTGGCTAGTTTGCATCGAATCAAAACTGAGTTCTTTATGTATAAAAACAAGTACTGTTTAGTGTAAAAAAACTAAACATATCGGCGCTAGTCTCGACTATTTTAGCCGTCACTTCATAGGCAAATTAAACCTTTAATTTTTGGAAGGCAATTTCAAGCAAAGATAACTCAAGAAAATAAAATTTAAAAAAATAGAGCAATAAAAAGGAGAAACATATAATACAAGATTGTTTTTTCCACACTCAAATCCCAGCTATCAAATCCCGTTCTTAGAGCCAAAAATAATATCCAGCACTATGTTTTGTAAAAATTTATATTTGGTCGGTTTTGGCATGTAGTTTTTAATATAGCGAAAAGCTCATCCATTTAAGGGCAGGGCAAAGTTGGTGTAATTTTCGAAAAGGCCCCATAATGACACCAATGAAACAACACTGTCGTGTTTACGAACCCCCCAAAAATGCCCACCATTTCAAATATAATTTAAAATTCTCGTGGCACACGCATTAAACGAACATTTCGACTTTATATACGTACGTGTGCCAGAGTTTATTCTATAAATTAGTGTAGGAACCCGGGAATGGAACATTTATCATGTAAATTACCGATGGCAGGTTTTGGTTGCGCATTTTACTGTTCCCCGTAATTAACACAGCGCAAAGTTTAGGAAATGTTATTTATTATTTGCTTTTGGGGTGCGAGTTGATTAGGTTTCTCCTTGCACGTATTGCCTGGACTATTTTAAACATTGAATCACTTCGATCTGCGATTAGATTGCCACGTCTCAAACTGCAAGAGCAACAAGACAATACTAGAGTCCATTCATCATATTAATGAGAGATTCTATCGCAATGCAGCATATTATGTATCCTGGAGCATACCGGCTCTGCCAAATGTAGCTCTATATTCATTTGTCAAGTGGGGATGTTTGCTATTAAGCTATTTTGAGTGGGAAGACTATCGATCTTGTGGAAATATCTGGCGCAGTTTGAATGCCCGACAAATTCCTGATATAAGTAAGGGCTTTATGTTAAAACAATGCCCCTCAAATGTTAAATCAGCGGCGTTGCGAACATACACAAATATGGTTCAAGTCGGGAAAAAACCGAACCACGGCGGAACTTCAGCTTTCTTTCAAAAATAAACTTTTTCAATTACAGTAAAATTGATTTCCATTGACAAAGTGACCCAAAATGCTTTTGATAAAACACAATTCTCCCATGGCAAGGCTCTAGCCTAATCCGAATCTACACCGACTCACCCAGACAAATCCAAACGGCAATTCCAACAATTTGTTTCATTCTTTTCGGAAAAGTTCCCGAACTTTTTAACGTCGCAACTGTAAAAAGGGATTAGAAAAAAACTCGGAAACTTAATCCATTAGAGGCGGTAAAAAGACTTAAAAGTGTTTTGTAAACCGGGCTTTATTTTCAATCTTCCGAAAATTAATCTCCCGGTAGTTTGCTTGAATGTTCTTTTTACATAAATTGGTTCGATGGAGGAAGGAAATTGTAAAGTCGTTAAGAAGTTGTTAATGTGGTGAGACTAAACAGGGCTCGCTTTTGTTGTTTCGATTAGACGTAACATAAAGAGTTTTTCTCTCAGCCCTGCCGCATAATCCCTTGAAGAGAATGCTAAAGAAACCCGAAAACTCCCTTTTATTGAAAGTTTTGGCGGTATTTTCGGTTTAGTTTGTCGGCTCGCTTGAATAAACACAACTTTTAAAGTTTCCAATCGCTGAACACATTGCCTATTTTAGGCTTTGCCTTGCCTTTTCCCTTTTTATTGGATATTTTTTAGTTATCGGTGGACCGTGACGCGAAATTGGGTCTTTTTATTTCATTTTTATGTTTCTTCTCTCAGCCCCGAAGCGTATTGACTAAATCCCGGAATAACTGGCTTTCCTCCTTTCTCAATTTATATTTCACACCTCGCCACAGATCTAAATATAAAGTCACTCTATTCCAAATCAAGCTACTCATTTTCGCAGTAACACACCGAAAGGACGATCAAGCAAATAAAAAATTCTAGCCAAAAAGACCATTCGCAAAACCTCGCGTAACTCGCAACCAAAAGTCGGAAAATCAAAACTTTAGTAATTACGTCCTGGTATAATGGAAAGTTAATTAAATTCGTTGAGAGTTTATAATCTCCGAGATTTAATTTGCACCAAACAAGTTTTCTGTTAGTTTAACAGATTATTTTCTAAAATATTCAGTTACTTCGGCTTAAACAGCTGCGTTTGTGGACTCCCATTGTTTTTCTAGCTTCCCGACCGCTTAAAGAAAAACGTCCACAAAACATATATCAATAGAAGTGTGCGCTATGGAATCCCCTTGGAAATTAATTTATAGAAAATGTACCTTATGGAGCGAGAACATGAAGAAAAGAACGCGAAAGCTATCATCAGTTAGTATTAATTTTTGAAAAAGAAGTTTCATGCATGAAGAAAAGGAAACTAAAGTTACCAATAATTTACAGCGTGAAAAATGCTTCTGTTCCTTAAATGCCCTCATTAACCACTGGAAGTCTGTGAAAACAAAAGGAAATACTCAGTATTTCACTTTTCAAGTCAGTTAAAAGTAATTGTTCAGTCAAGCAAACACTTACCGAGAGGATTTCTTGAAAATAAAATAATTCCTGTACATGTTTACTTTCTTAGAATAAATCTTTTCACGCTCCGTTGGCATCACTTCTCGCTCGATAAGACCATTCTATACGTGGTTTTCAAAGTTTACCAATTGTTATATAATGTTTGAGCTGATCAGCAGGTTTTAAATTCAATTGTTTCGAAGGTTTTACGTAACAATGAGAAAAAGGTCGCCTTGAGAAACAAAATTTAATGAGCGAGTCGATAGCCAATGTTAAGGCACAAAAGCGAAGGAATTCTGTATCATCCTAGGGTTGTAGCAGAAACAACTTTTCAACGGCATAATATTTTGATTTAAATTGCAATGTTAGCCTCTTCTGTATTAGCTCGAGAACTCCAACAAACATATAACTTATTCAAGGCAAATTCTCTTTGTATGTATTCAACCCCTTTTCATTGCAAATGGAATTTAGTAATTTGGAGTATGGGCGCCGTTATATGCGTTCCGCAGGTTACAATTTGTCACCGCTTTATGTGTGTTAATTCCCACTATTTATACGCCTCTCGTTCGACTTAATTAAACATATTTAATTTCAAGGCGTTAATTCCTTGTTGCAAAGATGGAGTCGCCTTCCTTTGAACACATTCGAAAAGAGGACAACTTGGATGGAATATACTGAAATAATGAAATAAACGAAACGAGAGAAGGGCCTATTTCTTTGATGAAATTTTGCTACAATATCCACGCCCTCCATGGCTTAGCAATAAAATGATCCCAGGCTAACCTGCAGTTCCTTGAAAGCGTTTATCTTGCGCAGCTTTCCCAAAATTTCAATTTTAAAACGCGATGGCACCGCTACCTTAGTCGAAACTAATAACATTTGAATAAAATATTTAATAACAGCGCTGCACGGAGCGCTGGATGCTTTTAAATAAATAACTTAAACAGACAAAGCACTCGGCCAGAAATGACAATATAGACCGTTGAGGTGAAGCAGTTGTTTCTTTTCTGACTTGCTGCACTTATACGTTCGGTTCCAAGTTCCAATTTAACCGAAAGGTTAATGCTGTGTTTATCCAATCGGAAAGTTTCAATTGGACCCAGGCCGAATCCGCGTTTGCCTCCTGATAAATTACCAAGTAGAATAAAATTTGTAACAAACGTAATAAATAACGAAAAGGTCTCATATTTCAGGAGGGCGCCCCGAACGATAAAGATATATGTGTTCATTCCGAAGCCTACGGCAAAAAGAGATATAAAAATGGAAGACAAAGGATATTTACCGAAATTTAAATGAGGCAATTTAAACGCTACCGAAAGTAAAATGTATTATGATTTCATTTTGGGCGCTCTTACCTTGAAAAATAAATTGCCCATTACGAAAAATTATACACGAGACCCTCCGTCGACCTGACAAATAAAACCGTCTATTTGTGAATTATTTTGCGCCCATCCTTCTCATTACATTAAATCAGAACAAAAAATCTCTAGATTTATTTGCAAATTTCAAATTCTCGAATCTGTATATTAAAATGTTTTTACGACTCGTTTTCTTCGTACTGTTACCTGACAGTTGTATTTGAACCCTCTCACATCACCGGATTTAATACTTAGATTTGCTTTGATCAAGACACACTTAATATATGATTGAAAATGAAGGCAAATATTGCTGTAGCAACAATTTAGTTATCCATTAACCACTTCAAAATCAAAATAAATCATCTTAAGTCTAACAAATACATTAAATTGACATCGATCTCTAAACGAAACCGCCAAATAATTTTATTGCGTTATTGTGGAACACAAAAATGAAACTCAATCTTATTAGATAATAGGACTGCAATATGATTTAAACAATAAAAAACAACAGTTTTATATCATCATTCCAGAGATACGTTCCGGATGGCGCCGACCCAATTTTCCGCAAAATTTGCCGTGTTTATTCGGTTATTTTATCTCGATGATAAAGCCACGGGACCGTTTCAATTTCACTAAGTAGTTTTCCTAATTTCCTAAGAATGTAAAGACCGAGATAAAACTGTTTTTGAGGGAGCGACATTTATTTACTGCAGATAGGTGTTGTTCATCGAATTCCCTAATTTATTTTGCTGAAGAACTGATGAGATTAGACACGAATTAATTATACTAAGATTTTCATTAGATACTGGTTTTATTTTGATGGATAAAAGTTACTTAGGGGGTTTATTATGGGCAATGGTTTTATATGGTACCCATTCCAGCATTCTGGGAATTCGGACTTTCTCTGACCAAACGGCATAATGGTCCGCTGTGAGTTCTTCCAAAGAAGGAGGACTTCCCTTAATCGCTTCTTCTGTTGCTTTGGCAACTTTTTCTTTGTTTTCATTCTGAAAATTTGTTAGTTTTGCAATAAAACATTAGTTATTTCGCTTTTAATTAATAGCTACCTCAATCGCTTTAATTTCGTCCTCCTTTGCCAAATTACTATCCAAAATCAACTGCTTCAAGTGATGAATGCAATCTTTCTTCTCTCTGACCTCTTGGATTTCACTCCGATCTCTATAGCTGGTTCCAGGGTCGGACATGGAGTGTCCAAAATACCTGCCAATAATTTTTACATGGTCGGATATTCACAAAGTTTGGAGAGAATACCGATAGGTCATCATCTCCAAGATTATGGGGCCTTTGCCGTCCTGGATATGCTTGAAGCAATATTTGGCAGCTTCAATAACACTGAGTATGTCCATCCCGCTTGCTCGTATTCCGGGCAGGAAGGAGCTTTGTCTGTAGTATTCATTATTTGCCGAACTTCTACTGCATGCGGTCCCAAGTCCGTATTGGTTGTTTTCAACGACGAAAAGCACTGGGATATTCAGGAGCTTGGCCAGATTGAAAGCCTCGAACACCTCAAAATTGATTTGTCGATTTGAGTGTTTGAAGAGACCAAACACTCAAATACGCACTTGTCCTTGATTAGCCGCTCCATCTCCATAAAGGGTAACCGATATGGCCTTATTATCCAAATATCTATGCTTCAAACCGATGCCCACGCCCAAAGGAACGTGGCTGCCAACTATTCCATTTCCTCCGAAAAATTGAGGGCCGTAGATATGCATTGAGCCTCCCTTGCCTCTTGAAGCGCCCGATTTATTCCCTAGTCAAATTCACCAAATTAAGTGCGATTTTTCAGCTTCTATTGACTTTCTACCAATCAGTTCTGCTATAACTGAAGCCACAGACTCGCACTTTAACACCGCCCAACCGTGGCATCTATATGAAGTAATCACAGTGTCCTCGGGTTTCATAATCGAGTTAATTCCCACTGCTACAGCTTCCTGACCCACATAAAGATGGCAAAAACTAAACAGACATAACTTCCCGAATGATCCTTCAGTCTTACCCTCTGATTTTCTTCTCCCTGTACAGCTGAGCGATGGAGTTTTCAACTTTCCTAATCTCATCCATCTGCTGGTAAAAGCGCAAGGCATCGCCCTTCGTCAGCTCAGACGTGTGTGAAGGGCCATCCTCCAGAAGATGCAGTTTATACACTTTGCTATCGAACATTTGATCGACATTGATCACAAGAGTTCTAGCCTGAAATTGGCTAATTCGCTTTGCAATTCTCACAGGGACTTTTATTGTCCACATTGTCAGTTTTGGCAGGCAGATTTGTTGGGTCATCGACATTGTGCAGGTTGTATTTTACCTTTTTTATACAAGGTGGTAAGCTCGAGGATGCAAATATATTTGAATTCAGAGCTAGCTTAGATCGCTGCTGATCGTTTGATTTTTTGTCGGTTTTCTTTTCATCTATTTTTCGGAAAGGATCGGCTTGTACCTTTACAGCCCAGATCTTACTTTTACCTCGGTTTTTGATAATTGATATTTCGAGAAATTTGTCAATTGAAGCTTCAATCCTTTGGGCCTCTTGCTGTAAAAGCCCGTAGGACTAAAACTTATCTAGTTATCGAGATGAAGCGTGAATCACCCTATATATTTGTAAATAGCTCCTTTGGGAAATTTCCATTCAGTCCTCAGCGACCTGAAGGTGACCTGACAACTCAGAGTTTTTCCTCACTCTTCAAAGGTTACTAAATATTAGATCGTAGCAAAACTCAAAATATGGCTATCTTGGTCATCCAGTGTCTGACCCTGGAAGAAGTTATGGATACGAAGTTCGGCAAGTTAAAGAGCATCGCGATTGTCTGAAACATTTGGAAAAACTCCTGACCTACAGCGATTTATCAACAGCTTAAGATGTCAGCTCTTGGATAAATGCGTCAAATATAATTCTACAGATTCGCCTTCAACTTGTCACAAATTTCTATTGTGCACTTTGAACTTGCAGCTCAAGAAGCCAATAATGCAAATAAATACCGCTAGTTTTGAGAAAATGAATATATTTTACTAATAGAAAAGCCCTTGGAATAGGAATAGAGAACTTTTTCACATTATTTAAGCGATCGATCGCTATATCGATTACTCATAAAAAGTGCGATTACCCAACCTGTTTACTGGAGTTCCATATATGAACGTTTTGCGACATAAACCAGCCCAAAAAACTACCCAACAATGTTTAATTATTTAGCAAGCGTAAAGTTTGCCTTGCAAACAAAGCTCGATGTTTCAAAAACCTATACCAGCCATTGAATGCGCTAATTCTGGCAATTGCCAAAATCTGCAAAAAGCGAGTTGAAACTCCACTTGAGTTTCCGCTAACGAGGCTTTCCATTGCAACTCTCCACGGTCGGGGAAAGTAGCCATTGAAAAAGCAGGTTAACGTTATTATCGGGAGACTGTTGCATGCCCTTCATCGACCAAAAACACTTCTGGATGCTAAAAAGCTTCAACTATGGGATTTGAAACTGATTGCAATTGCTCTCCATAAACCTATGTAGAATGATCCAGAGAAATTTTGACTCTAAATCGTTAAGGTAAATTGAATGGGACGAATTGAAACAGGACTATCAATACCCTCCTCTCCCATCTGAGGAAGTATACATTTATTTGCAAGCGCATGATCCCAAATAAATTACCATCATTCTGAATCGCCCAGTATAATTGAACCAGGCTTTGTTCGTCGCTCCAACTCTACACAAAGATAACAAAACGTGCATCGTTTATCAACGGTTTTTTTGCCGGTAGGTCACTTCTCATCTTGTCCAGCCACAAAAAGACAAACATCATCTAATTGTTCAGAACTATTAACAGTAGCAAAATAATATCAAGGGAATTGATCCAATAAAGGACTCCGAATGACCAACACTTTATCTTTACTTTGCGGCCGGACCCGTACGTATAAATTGGAGTTGGGGCAAAAAAGTTCGGCCAGATTTATTGAAATGACCACAGCAGATGTAGATAATGTGTGATTGGGGTGAATTAGGGCCGAATAAAGCGCCTTTTATTGCTGAAATAAGGACGTATTTTTATGGGCTTGATATGACACACAAACACTGACTAGCATTCAAATTGATGTTCAGAAATGGAGAGTGGTTTGGTTCCCTTCGTAATGATTCTCATTGCATAATCTGTAGATGTATGATTCACCGTTCGTTATTCTGAGGCGGAGTGAGTGCGAAAAACAAAGTTTTTCCTGCAAAAAAAGAAGGTTTTCACCCTCAAACTATCAAGTACGATTTCATTTTCGTGGCAGCTCGCTATCAATGGGCATTATTATGTAGGATTGCCGCCCAACCATTATGAATCCAAATAGGAATCGGGTTGAAAATTAATTCATTAGAGTCCGTGTACCATTAGAGCATTGCTAATAAATTCGTTAGGAAATTTGAATGTATTTTATAATTTACCTCAACAATGCAGGAGCCGAAACGCCGTAACAATGCCAAACAGCGTCCAACATCTGGGCCTATGCGACAATTAATGTGCGACCGGAATGAATTAGTGCTCGTTTTCGGTAATATCACATTTCGAACCAAGTTATTAGCTGTAAATATCGATGTTTTTAAAACATTTTATTGATATATTGAATTGTTTAATTGCTATGCATTATCCGAACATTTGAGGAGGGTGTGTTACGTAGTACATTCTGTAGGGCAGTGTTTAAGTGCATATGGCGTAGGATGACACATAAAGAATGCCGATGCAATCGCGCTACATCCAACGTTGCCGAACGTTTCAAAACTACTGTAAAATATTTCTACTAAATCGAAGTCTGTGTGATTCCCACTTTCCCACTGCGAAAATCCTATCATTTTTGGACTGAACAATCAAAAATAACCAGTTTATATGACGTTATTTTGAAACTACTCTTGCAGGCGTAAAAAACTCATCTTTGAGCTTTCGTGGCATTAATGCATTAATTCTGAATTTTGCTAATGGTACCATTAAACCGCGCTGCCATCTGAACAATACACATTACAATTTGGTTGATGCCTTTGAAACATGGCGAATAATTGAACAATTACTACTGACGTGTTTCTCGCCATATTGCTGAAATATCAGCAATGCAACCAGCACACTTCTCAGCCCAAACTAATTTTCCTGCACCGGAAGTGCTTGAACCTCAGCGAACCATTCCGGGCAGCGCGTTTCCGTTCCGGTACTGGCGCCACCCAGTCAGCTTTTCGCAATCTTCTACGAACCGGAAGCTGCACGTGCGACGGATGTAGCTACATTGCACAGTTTAGACACCGTTACGATGGTCAGCCCTGCGAGATGTCATTGTATTTGAAGCTGAATGTGTCGCATTTAATTTGAGTCGTTGTTCACGATCACCACAGGTTAAGTTGCTTAAATTGCAGATTAAATATGCAGATCAAAAGCCTCTGTTTTTAAATTAATCACTTCAAATCACTCGCCTTTCGAAAAAAATTGTCGTTGATCACTTATACTTCCTTTTATAGTTTTATGTAAATTGTCGTCATTTTTGGAAGATATTTCAATTTTTTTTTGTTTCAAACCCGCGCAATAACAACTTTGCTCGATTCACTTATTTGTGGCGTAGATTAAACGTGAAAATCACGTTGGCACATTTACCAGTTTATGCTGATCACTATAAGCAACTTGTTTTTAATTTAGCAATAACATGTATTATCGGTTTGCTTCCTTGCATTCTTTGCAAAAATAAGTTTCAAAATAAAAATTAAAAAAACAACACAAAATTGATTTTTTTACAAACTTCTTGTTGGCTATTTCGCCTCAAAAATTTTTGTCTTTAAAAAAGACAGAATTTCCTCACGTCTTCTATTACAGAT